ATTTACTTGATAAGCCCTTTACCGCTAACGCGCTAGCTGCTACAGTGACCAGACACTCCCAGGAAGCGACCGGTGCTCCCGTCAGTCCAAAGCTCCACCGTAACTAGCACCATTAAACACAGAACACTGAGCTCCCAGTCTGGGGGCAGGAGTCACCCAAATAGGAGGTGTTAGCTTCCCTAACCAACAAGTATCCAAGCCCCAAGTAGCTATAACACAAAGTCATCTGAGAGATCTTCCTAGGTAACCAGGCTTCATTCAGCTCCTCTTTGTACATTTGTGAATAATGTTTGTGCAATCCATGCTTTGTTCCTATGTTTCAGGGTGAGCGAGGCGGTCCTGGACCGAGTGGACCTCAGGGAGTCCAAGGTTGTCCTGGGATCAGAGGACTGAAGGTACAGCACTGCTCATTATGTAAAGTACAAACAGATGTTAGAACAACTGTCTTTTTAATGTCTAGTTAAAGATATTTACAGTGAAAACAATGATCTATAAATACAGAGGTGAACTCTGCTATTTACATACAAATACATCAGGCTTACATTTTACAACAGAGTGCTGTTATTGGATTTGTTTATTATTTAATCTGAAGTGTTAAAGTTTATAGAACTGTAATAAGAAGTCATATGTGAATTAACAGCCAGTGAAATTATTCTGTTTACACTGATAAAAACTGTATTTGGACAGTTCCAATGCTTTTACACCTGCATAATGCAACATTTATTCAACGTTTCTGTTCTTCCAGAATTATACAAGATATCTGTCAGTTAACTAACAAATGCATGTAAAGTTACACAACAGATACTTTTTTACTGTTAATGTCACTAATTTTACATAATTTTAGAAACATATTAACAGTACAAAACCTGTAATTACGTTTGTAGTTTGGTCGAAGTAGCTTTTTCTGTGCGTCTGTAACCGGCGCTGTTTGTGTCTGCAGGGCAACCGCGGCCTCCGGGGAAACAGGGTGAGTGACTCAGACCTGGAATGTAATTAAAGTCAATTAAACGAAGGAAGTCATGTGACTGTGCTGTATGTAGCGAGGAATGCTTGGACAAACATTAAAGCACAGATAGATGAAGTCAAATGACCCCAGAAAAGAAAAGGAGAGATCTGCTAACACTCGACTCTCCTCCAAACGCTGCAGGGCGAGGACGGCGAGGACGGGCTGGACGGAGTCAACGGAGAACAGGTACGAACTTCATCAGCTAGCTACAACTCTCTTTATGGGAGATGGAAACAGAATAAGTTCTGATGTAGTGAACATTTAACTCTATAAAACATCCTTCCTCACTCTCATACATGAAACAAACACAAGCCTTTTACTCAAAATGTGGTTAAAATGCGTGGTAACTGTGGAGGGAAACACAGCTCAGGGAGGAGATTTAGGTATTTAATCACCTCTTTGCAGTAGTTGAGTAAAAGGTCGTAACCCCAATTAGTGCCCTAATCTCAACACACATATTTTTTGTTTCTGCATGACTTTATAAGAACCTACTATAAGAATCATTCATCTCTCACAAACATCCATAAATCCACTTAGAAATCAGAGAGTAAAGATGCTCCTTATGACTGCAGAACTTGCTTCAGAATGAGCATGTTTTTAAGTTTCCTTCAGTATCAGAGTAACTCAGTGATAGTTGTCTGAACATCCACAAGTTCACTGCTAACAGAAAAAAGCCAACAGCTAACTACTCAATCCAATCCATTATATTTCCTGTTTGCACTGTAGAAGCATTTTTGTCCTGTTAAACAACAAACAATGATGTTGCGATACAGTAAATCTCTATTTTTGATGCCATCATGGAGGAAATGAGCGGGCGTATTCAGGAAACGAGCTGAACGCAGCTGATTTTCAGCGTTCTGAGCTGTTTCTGGTTTCGTGTTTGCAGGGAGTGACGGGAAAAGACGGAGCTCGAGGAGAGCGAGGACACCCAGGAAACCCAGTAAAGAAAAAAACCTTTATACTTTTTCTTTATTCTCATTTTCTGCCATTTTCTAAACACATTTAAACAAACAACATTTTTACATTGTGCATTAAAATATGTGTATATATGTAAACTGTATTGTTTTTAATAATTTAATTGAATTTTTCATTCCCTAAAAGAATATAAAATTCAATAAAACATTCATAATTAAAAATGAATAACTCATTCATATTAACATACAGATTATTGTGTTGCATTACAACACATGATGTGTATTTATAACACATAATCAACACTGATCACATAAATTATTGATTATTGCTTGTTTTCATGTTGTTTTGCTGTTTATTTGCCATCTGAATGTGTTTGTGCACCGAAGTGTCTCTGTGGAATTCAGCCGTCACATTAAGATGACGGAGTGAAGCTCGGAGGTGTTGACCTCTGACCTCTGGCTGGTTGACTGACGGGTTGAACTGTCGTCCTCAGGGTATCCCAGGTATCAGAGGGGAGGCGGGGCTGAAAGGACAGCGAGGACTGAGAGGAGATCCGGTGAGTCCATTTTAGATCTATGTTTATATGCAGTATGTATTATTATTATATTGATCTGTGATTGAATGTTCACATTTAGACCATATTTCACCAGTTTTAAGTTTTCATCCTCTACAATGTGCAAAATATCGTCACTTTGGAGCCAAAAACGACGTCCAAACCATCGTATCCTCATCAGTGAACACCCATGAAACAGGAAACCCAGTGCTGCTTGCAGCAGACAGTAGTGTTGTCACGATACCAAAATTATTGTTTCGATACCGATACCAAGTCAAGAATTGCGATTTCAATACTTTTTCGATACTTTTCCTGAAAAGGGAGAAACACTCAAA